CTCCAGGCCTTGCAGGACATCTGCCAACGTGAGCGGGGCATCGCCAAGGACAGTCGGTGGGAATGTATACACATGGTGTATAGTGAGATATATATCAGTATACATACATACATATATATATATAGAGATAGATATAGATATAGATATAGATATAGAGTTATGGATATAGATATAGAGTTGTGTATGTGTATGTGTATGTCTGTATATATATATACATATATATATATATATATATACGCATAACTCATATATATATATATGTATGAGTTATGTATATGTATATATATATATAAGTATATGTATATATACATATATCATATATATATACATACATACATACATACATACATACATAAATAGAGGGACCCCGGGTGAGTGGAGATGTCTGGATTTGTAAGGATCTGGTAGCATTGCCAGGATCGGCAGAAACTTCACCAGATGGACCTTGAGGAAATCCACCTACAGATGCAGGCTGCATGCTACACGGTCATTTTGCTCGTCGCATCACTGTCTTGCTTTTAGGGTGTGGTGTCTGTTTTCGTGGTCATCGAAATTGTTGGGGTGGACGAGCGGAGCTTGCTCTGGCCGCAGGTCAGGATGTCTGATTCGGAACGCCTGTGGAAGATCGCCAAAGAGCGAGAAAGTCGCATTCAGGAGCTTTGGGGGGGACTTGCGATGTGGGGATGGGCTTCGGACTGGCCTCATGGTGCCTGAAGCCTTCCAGTTTGAGGTCTCTCACTGCTGGGCAGGCTTTCCTCTGCTTCGAACCGAAGCATCACACAAGTGTCCACAGGAGCTGCAACTGCGCCTCGTGAAGCGCAAGGAGCAGAGGTTTGCTCAGGCGGGACTGCTTTGCGCTTCAGGCACTTGCAAATTTGGAACCCCCCCCCCCAAAGCCCCTTCAACCGAAAGCCAAACTGCCTAAACCCCAAACCCTTCGAGCCCAACTTCCCCCTGTGCCAGCCCTCGCGCATGGTGGGTGCTCGCTCCGAAATCATCAGCGACGGCGGCTTCTCGGAGTCGGCATCCCAGAGTTGCTCCATGGCTTCGAAAGCTTCCATTCAAGAACATAAACAAACAGCGCGGGAGAAGAGTGCTACTGGTAGGACTGAGCATGATATGAACGGCAGATGCTGATGGTGTGTTTACAAATCCACACAATATGTCGTAATGCTGTTGCCATCCGTAGTTAGTTGCCCCGCTGCTCAGCCTCTCGGAAATCGCCGATGACAAGAACGTGTTGGACTTGTACATCACGCTGGGGCAGATCGAGGACGGTTGACTCAAGCCTCCTACCCTGGTATCGTGTGGACATGCGTGGAGAAGGACAGGGCGCTGCAGGAACTTCCTCGACAAGGTTTTGAGCCAAGAATTTACACCCTCTTTCCTTCTGAGTCGTGTATTCCCGCTATGATTCTGATCCTGTTTCCGAGGCGAGGGAACTTGGCAGATCCCTCCAGAGAACAGCCTGTGCACGCTGGTGGGCGCCTTTCTTCAAAGCCGACGAATGTCGCCTTTTGGGTCGTATTATTGGATCCGTTTCTTCTCGGAGGTCATTGCCGAGTTCATGCACTGCGACGTCGGAACTTCCGAGACGGCCGCCGGCAGCACAGCGGGCTGAGGGTCACTTAGGTGTCTGAGTCTATGTGCAGGATGCAGGTAGTCACAGGTGGAGTTGGCCCGTTTCAGCCTCAGAGACGCTTTAAGGTCGGCCTGAAGCCACGCTACGACTCCTTGTTGTCCTTCGGGCCTTTCGGGGTGGGGCGCTTTGCCCCAACCACGTAGCAGCTGAATCTTCCGCTCGACCCGGGTCTCGCGCGGGAGGTTGGCGATGCGGAGGTGGAGCACTTTGCCCGGGCAGCTGTGAGGTTGGAGCTCCAAGCCGAGCCCCGAGACCTGGGGCCTTCCCCAGTCTTCCCCGTTCCTGCAGTCACCTTCGAGTCCACATGATGGGTCCTGGGACCCGCTACTCTGTGGAATCAGGCCTTCTCGACTGTGGGCTCTGCTTCCTATGCCCGGGCCCTGGCAGGGAAACATGCTCCCGGGGTATTTTGCAAACTGAATGGACCCGTTCCCGGAAAGTGCAGATCTCAGGTCTTGGGCAGAGCCGCACTCCCTTTGGCTGCCTTGTTGGACTGCACCCCACAGGACCGGACAAAAGTCCGCCGCCGGAGGTCTGAGTGGCCTGCTTTGGGGCGAAGGCTGGGACTCTCGTGAGGATCCCAACCCGGTGATTGCTGGCACGCTGTCCTTCGCATACGAGGCTTGTTGCCGATATTCTCCCACTCGTCTCCTTTCCTTCCCGCAGCTGCGCCAACAGGCCGACACGCATGTGCAAATTGCAACCGTCCGGTACAAGGCCCGCTTGGTGAGCCAGCACATCTCGCGTGGACCTCCAGGACCTCAATCCGCAATCCCTCGAGGCAAGATGGCGAAAGAGCATCATCAAGCCGCTGGAGACGTACACGATCACTCGTGGCATGTGGCATTCTTACGAAAGTGACACTGATCTGCTTGGACGGTCGTGATATCGCTCAATCTACACAAGGTCTCCAGTTGCAGCTGTTGCTGCTGTCGCAGAGGGCGCAGGCGCACAGCGTGGTTGCAAGCCATAGCAGCCATAGCACCCACACCCACGATGGAAGGAGCAGGCTGTTGGGCAGATTCGGCTCAAAGAATGAAACCAGAGATTCCCAGATCACAGCGAAAGCTTGAAGGAGATTTCGGAACGCAGCCATGGGCGTGGCTTCGGGCCTCTCCACATTGTCTTACCTCATGGCTCTTCTGGCAGCAGGGGCTTTGCTCGCCACCACTGGGCCATCCCGCTTGGGCCTAGACGGGGAGCAGTGGTGTTTCTCCAACCCCGAAAGCATCAATGGGCCTTTCATAACTGCGAAGCACTGGTCCCTTGGGAGCTATGGCATAGCTTACATCACGACGTCGGTGCTGAGAGAGCCGGGCTTGCAATGTACTACAATTGCCGGGGCATATCTGGCTGAAAACCTTACCCTTACAGGACCCGCAACCTGCCGCACCATCATACCAATATCCGTGCACCATTACTGGAACACGGTAACGATCAAGCAAGCAGATGGAACAAACTGCAGCTCCTGCATGTATTCTGACGTCCCTGTCGGGGGCCCCTGGCCGCAAATTCAATGCGCGAAGTTTCCGCCCCACACCGGAAAGGGCGTTCCCGGATTCTTAGGCTTCCGCATCCCATGGGCTCCTTGACTGCCTGGCTCTACCCTGGTGCAAGAAGCGACACGTTTCCTAAAGCCAAAGGTGCTTGAAGCGAACAAAACAATGAGAGTGTGCAAGGCTTGGGCTGCAGACCGTAACAGCTGTAGTAAGGAGACTCAGTGAAAGTCCAGACGTGTCGCGGTGATGCATTCGGATCCTATGCCAGGGCCAGGCACAGCTGCTGCTCCTGGGTTGATGGATGCTGCGAAGGGGCTCATCGCATCTTCCTCAGCCTTTGGTTTGCTGTTCCCGCCAGGTCTCACATGCTCCAGTCATGCTCCCGCTTCTTGTGCAAGGTCCACATCTACCACGTGACTTCATTGGCAGAGACCCCGGTGTCCTGAGTCCTGATGAGTCCTGTGTGCCTTCCGGAGATCGCCTGCAGAGCTCAGAGCTCTGCAGAGTGCAGGTCCCTACACAGCCCGGTGTGGCGGCAGAGAGCCTGCAGCCCTACGTGACGTACGAGGCCGCGGCCAAAAAGCGTGCCCGATGTGCCACCGCAGGGTTTGGAGCTCCCTCTTCGCCAGGTCCCTGGGCACAAGGCCCACTTCACCCAAAGCGGCAGCGGACCCAACGTCACCTTCGAGGACAGCGACAGACCTCTCTGTGAGTGGCCGAGGGAGGGCCCCGGAGTTGTGTTTGGACGGAGCGGAGGATGCCAGGCGGATGGTCGTGCGCGTGGACAGCGACTTCTGCAGGCCGAGTCGTCCCGAAGAGCCTTCGGCCTCTGGGGGGTGCCCGGAGGTGGGTGCAGAACGCTGGCGGACTGCACTTCCTGGTCTTCGACGCGTCGATGCCAGCAGCGGGCGACTCCGAGGACGTGTTCGTGCCTTCGTGGAGTGGAGCCCTGGCGCCCTTCCACAGAGAGCTGACAGGAACAGCTCGGCCTCATCGGCGAAGCCCGGGTTCCGCTGGACCAGCTGCTTGCGCAGCCGCCTCGGCGCCCATTGTCAGCCGGCAATCTCAAGAGCCGCCGTTCTGCGCTGAGGTCTCAGTACAATCGCGCGTCGGGCTCAGCTTGGTGCTGGCATGCGCCACGCGTTCTGACCGCACTGATCACAGCTACATGGCACTGCAGGTCCAGGGAAACTTCCCGCTGCACCGATCTGGTGTGGGTGCGGAGCAGTCCGCCCAGAAGCCCGTGCAGTCGGAGACTCCAGGAATCCTGTCGAAGGGGAGAGCCAGCGGAGAGAAGGTAACCACGAGACACTACAGATCACCAGTGTCGTGCGAAGAAGCACATGGCTCTGCAGCATTCAGGCTTCCGCCTGTTGGATACATCGAGCTGTCGGTTTCATGGCAGGCACAGCTTCCTTTCCTTTGAGCTTCAAGCTTGAACTTGATTCCATGGCTTCCAGTCTCGGAAGGATGATCCCAGCTCCGTCCTCGCGCCGGGCGTCATCGGCTTGTTCGCATCTCAAGTCATGTCCGTAAGACACGGAAACTGACGTCCCTGCGTGCCAGAAACAGCAGGTCTCCTTTCGAGGCTGATCGTGGAAGCATCACGGAGGAGCAATTCCAGGCCTTGGTCACCGTTAGCCCCGATACTCTGGAGCCGAGGGCTCCGCACCGAGGTGCTGTGGCAGCGTGTCATCCGCCGCCTGCACGTGCTTAAGCTCGCTCCGGTGGACTGGCCCGGCGCACAGCCGTGCTCCAACTTCGCCAAAGCTCAGCACATCGTGAACTACAGCAGGCAACCGACCCAAGGTGCGATTTCGATGCCTCCGGCAAAGGGCCAATCAACCCCATGAGCTCCAGCAATCCTTTGTTGGACGGAGTTGGACGGTGTTGATGGAGGGCTTCAGTCGGCGCTAGGGGTGGGTTGAGGGAACAGCTGATGGCAGTTGACACATGGCTTGTGAATTGGCACTATGCTACACCGATTCGGAGAATGTCGTCACGGTAGGAAACCAGAACCGGGGCTTTCCAGCTCATCAAAAGATGGCATGAAACCTCATCCGCCCATTTGCGTCTCTTGATGTCTCGGTCTGTGATGCTGCATCATACCACCTTGCATACACTGTGTCGCTCTGGCCTGGCAGTGGCTTGGACGCCATTCTGCTGACAAGACGATGATCGGGAAAGCCTTACTTTGCATATCTAGGTGGGCACGAGCCTTTCATCGTTCAGGTTCCACAAGCACGATGTGGACCAGGACGGCTTCTGGTCAAAAGCAGAGTTCACGGCCTTGTGCTAAGTCCTTTTACTGGAGCATCTTTTTGTCCGGAGTCGGATCTTGTGGACCCTGAGGCCGCGCTCTCGAGCATGCCTTTGGGCTTGTCCGGGCACTTAGAAGTGGCGACGAGGCAGAGGCAGCCAGGCAGGGCGCCGGGACCTGCGGCCGCGCAAAGGTCGGCCCTGGAGACGGACTACATCTTCAACTGGACGGACCGGCGAAGGCCTTTGGGCCTTTCTTCCGTGTGCGTTTTGTGTGGGGTGGGCGACAGTTGACTGCATCACGTGCCCGCGGCCCTGGCTCTCCAGCGAAGCGGTGCGTCCAGCGGTGTAAGCCAGAGGCAGGGAGGCCCCTTGCCTGTGGTCGTTCCGGACATGACGTGCTCCGAACCAGTGGAAAACACGACCCCNNCCCCCCCCCCCCCCCCCCCCGAAAGTCAGAATCTTCAGAATTCGGCGGTCTGGGGCTGCCACGACATGACATTGTCTGCGTCTTGAACTCCCTACTGCAGTTAGAAGAGGAGAATGTTGCAGGCGAATGTGCTCGTCGTAATGTTGGTCTGACGTCCAGCCAGAGTTCGCCGAAGAGAGGTCTCCCGACACCATGGGAAAGCGCGGTGCAGCTCCCGCAGGCTGGGCTAAGGACTTTCTCCTTCTTGTGCACGTGGACACGAGAGCTAGCAAGGCCTTGTGATTTTGTGAAGCTGGAGGTCCAGCATGGAAGAAACAGCGTGCTGTGCTCAGTTGCCAGCAGGAGCACTTCAAATCTTTTGGCACGTCAGGCTGCTGCCTGTGCCGTTCCGCCTCCTGTAGGTGGTGCGACCGTGCGGAGCAAGATAAACACCGTCATAGCGGTCCGAGCCTTGGTCTGCGGCGTACGGGCTTTCGTCTTCACTGGTACGGGATACTTGCCCCGGGGTAAACCAGACAACCAGGTCATACCAGGACAGGTCAGACTTCCATCTTTTATGCCGCAGGCGCTGCGCGACACCAATCTGGAAAGCGAGGCCTCCTTGCGCTGGGAACCTCGACTCAGTCACTCCAGTCATGCCTGCACAGGCAACAGAGATCTCGCGAAAGATGCTTGCAGAGGGTGTGCGGGGCCAAACTGCATCAAGTCAAAGTCAGATGGCCCGAATCTCGCCTTCCCAAACATTTGGCAATCGAGGCAGTCGCTGCGCTCTCGCAAATGGTGGAAGACAGGCATCCCATGCAGACAAGGTGCCTTGTCTGCAGAGCAATCAGAGCAGAAGATATGGAGCGCCTGAAATCACAACCGGTCTCTTCCTGAAGGGTTGGCGACTTCATCAAAGAGACGCTGGAAGACATCGCAGCACGGTGGGGGTTGCAAGGAAGCTCACTTTTGTAGCTCTCTGGAGTAAAAATGCATCCAGGCTTCAGGGGAAGGTCGATGATGCGAAGAAGTCCGTGAGCACCATGGAGTCGGAGCTCGAAGTCCAGAAGGCCGCGTCGGATACCGGACTTGGAGTGGTCTGCAAGAGGGAGGCAGTGTGCTACATCCTTCTTCGTTGCTGATGATACAGTACTTGTTGCTCAGCGTTTTGCTGTTCAGTGTGGCAATGCCACGGGCTGCAGTCGGGTGTGAAATCCAGCCGGTGGCCGTGTGGTCGCCACAGAAGCACCAGTGGCAAAACCAGTTTCACAAGCCCGCGGTTGAGAAGACGTGCACTCAGTCAAGCCACTCCAGAAACTTTTCGCCACTGTGCTGCCTGACGCAGCCAAACACATCCAACAGAACCGGAGCGATGCCAAAAATGATGACCAAACGCGGCTTTCAAGCATTGGCAGCTGCGGATATCAACACGGTTCAAACCTGATCCCTACAGATATTTTGAGGATCTGCTCGTCCTGTGGAATTGGGTCCAGTGTCTGTGTTGGTTGGGTTGTAAAGGTGAGATTGGTGGTTGAAGAAGCGGGCAAGAGGTACCATCTGGCAGGAACAGCATCACGGTTCAAGGATTGTAAGGCAAGTGGTGGGAGGAGAAGAAGCCACAATGCTCGAGATGTTTTCGCCAGCATCCGGTGGACCAGGCAAAGCCCCTCGGACAGCCTCCCGGCCAATCGAACAGAATGAATATCACCAGCACGTGCATTATACTTGCACTGGTGTTAATGGTAAGATGGCAAAACAATTCTAACGACATAACTGTCTTTGGTCCGGGTCTTCCCCTGAGACAGGCACAGCTGCAGGCCGCCACGGACGAACTTGCTGAGGCCTGTCATTGTATTGCCAGGGCTTTGCGGTCCACAGCCCAATGGGCATGGGGGGAAGGAGATGGGATGTCTCGGATGCTGCTAGTTACTTCACGAGGGTATCACCAATTCAAGATGGATGGTGACTAAACATGGCTTCATATGTTTTGGTCAAAGATCCCAAGCTGTGCCCAGTCGTCCTGGGGAGGCCAAAGAGAAGGTGACGAAGAAGGCTGAGCAAACGACAGCAGCCAAGAAAGCCCTCGGGGAATGCGAGCAGGCACTTGGCTTGGTCGTGTCTTAGCCTGTCATGTGAACCTCGATCTTGAGAGCATGTGACACAAGTCCTTCCAAAACCCACGGCTTCTAACAGCCGTCACGCTGTCGGACCGGACAGGCTGATGCCATGATCGCAAGGGATCAGGCTGGCACCAACAGGTCCGCCGACGATGACGGTTCTTGTGCAGAGGAGTGAGTATTTCCCAGTGCACGAAAGGCGGCAAGGCCAGCTGACCAAGGAGCAGTCGAAGTTCACGTTGGCTACCTAGCTCCGAGTGCCTGCCCTATAGGCAAGCAGTTTTATTGAAACTAATCTTGTCTTTCTATCGGTGTGAGCCCGACATGCTGGTCGTGTGGTGATGGGGGCCACAAGCCGTACCGAACGATGGAAAGCCATGATTCATTGATTCAGAGCTTGGGGAATGCGAAGAGACAGCCGACGTGAACGAGCAAAACTCGAGGCCGTAGCGGATGTTGCGAACATGCCTTCAGAGCCGTATGTAAACCATCGATGCCTTCGGGGCCTTTATGCTGGTGAGGTTTGTCGTATGCTATGCATGCCATGTTTTTCAACCCTGCAGGGTTCGTCTAAAGCGCCTTGCATGACGCAGCTGAGGGACATCAGGGACAATCTCCTCCAGGCAGGGTTTGAGAGCTTGAAGGTCCTGGTTTCAAGTTTAGGCCTCAGAAGGGGGTTGGCATAAAGATGAGGATGGACGCCTTGGCAGATGACAGGTGCTGATAGATGATGGCATCAATGCAAACGGAAGTGCCAAAGAGTCGAAGAAGGCTTGCGACAAGTCCGACCAGCATGTTTGCTGCCTTTGCCTTCAATCATCGTTGTTATGGTTCGGGTTCCATGCCATCTCTACAACAAATCTGACCTGCTTAATCTGTTCGTTGCCCGCAGGCAACGTTCCCCTGGCCCCAACCCCCACAGTATTCGTTGGCCAGGCTCCTGAAGCAGATTACGAACCTCGGTGCCGAATCTGCTCTGCTGGCGGCGGCTCCTGCGGTGCTGCTCAAGAAGCCCGAGGAGAGAGCTCGCGCGCGTTCTACGACAAGTGTTAATCGTCGCCGCCGAATAGTGCCTAGCAGTAGCAGTAGCCGTTTGTAGTGCCAGTAGCAGCGATAGGTGTATCTAGTAAAGTGGTAGTGGTACTGGTAGTGGTAGTGGTGGCAGTAGTGGTAGTGGTGGCAGCAGTAGTAGTAGTAGTAGTAGTAGTAGTAGCAGCAGGAGTAGTAGTAGTAGTAGTAGTAGCAGCAGCAGGAGTAGTAGTAGTAGTAGTAGTAGTAGTAGCAAGCAGTAGTAGTAGTAGT